GTTATGCGGACCGTGCTCGTCATTCTCTCAGTTATCTGGCCAGCTGTGAAAAAAGTTTGGTGACCCCTGGTTTAGAGGATATGTATCACATGAAATAATTCGTTTGAAACAAATTTATTTTTGTTTTCGTTGTTGAGTAAAGTATTCAGTTTATTTAGAGAAAACCAAGAAATGTTTAGCTAGAAAAATATAAACTAAAATTATTTTTTCTAAACCTTTAGAAATTAGGCTTAGATGTTGACGACGTCAAGTTCAAATTTTGTTTCCGAAGACCACATAATATTAATCTCGGTAAAATTAATTCTAATACCTGTATAAAATAGTTTGAACAAGTATGTTAGCAAAATTAGTTAGACACAAAATGTCACATATAAACAGACATTATTGTTTAACGTGGAAATAAATATTTGTGAGACTTGAAAATAAAAAGTCACAATTGTTCTTTATGATTGTTGTGTGGGTTACCATGACAACCTATGAACACCATGATACAACAACAGGAACAAAATATTTATTTTTAATACGTTTAGGATAAAAACGTGGAGTAGCCAGTTGTGGAAAGATCGTAGTGATTTTGGTTCTTCTGAATGAATTAATTCAAGTAATAATGAATAATTAGTGTTAAAAATAAATATATAAATAATACTTTAGTACGAATCTTAACCGTAATTCTGATTTCTAAATGACTTAGATATATCTGATGTTATAAATAGCGCCTAGACCACTACTATGTCTGTTGTATCCCAGTCAGCCTTGTAAACCCTGGTATTGGTCGAAAGACCTGATCGGCACTCAATATGACATTTATAGTATAGTTGACATATTATTATTTGCTTTCACTCAAAAGTTCTTAGAATTAACCTAGTAATGTTTTTGTTTTGTTTTTCAAATTATGGTTCTGTCAAATTTGTTTAATTGTAATGTGTGATGAATTTTCAAACATTGTTAATTTGAATGGTGTAAATATAACTGATTAAAACAGTTTATTACATAGTTTGATAGTAATTTTGTAAAACAAGTCGCAAGTCATTTACTTTTCATTCGTTCCAAGTTAAGAAACGCAAATGAAAAACGCTGATTCTTGAAGTTGAAGCACACATAGGAAAAATATGGATATACGATATCAACAAATTCACAACTCAATCTTTGTAAGGCATAGTTCTACGTCTTTGGTCTTACAAAATCGAAAACGAACACAAATATTATAAGTTTATATACCTTAGATTCAGAGTTCGATCCCTGCGGTGGACACAACGCTCATAGCTCATTGTGTAGCTGTGTGCTAAAAAAAAGAAATTTCTGATAACATTTGATTGTCGTTTAGATTAATTAAATACGTATTACCTTCCTTTGTAATAATTTGATCAAACGGCATAGATGTTCCAACACATTTTTTAATAATATATGTTGACAGTGATGTATGTATTAATTAACTCTTTTAAACTTGTTGGTATAAACAAATGTCATGATGCCATATACAAAGTTCTTTCTGCTTGAATTTATATTCTTTATTTTCACTCCCCCCCTATGGGACAGCTGTAAGTTTACGCACTTACAACGCTCAAATCCAGGGTTCGACACAGCAGATAGCCCAATGTGGTTTTGCTCTAACCAAACAAACTTCCCTTTCAACTGCATCAAAAAGAATTTATCAGGAGCTTCGGTGACTGTAGTTCTGT